TTGGAAAATCAATTTTGTAAGAATTTGATAGTTGCATTTTTTTTTAATACAGAAGTACAGGAGGTGGTGTTATTCAGGCTTAACAAATAACAAAAGTTAGGGATTTGTATTTCTTAAATAATAATGTTAGCAGCAGTGATAACATTCTTTTTTGAAAAATCCTTTCCAGTTGTATACCTGTTTAAACTTCACTTCTTTAAATATGCATTGTTATACTTGTCACATTTCTGCATTGTGTCCAGGATTGATATAACTCTTTCAACAGGGAGATTAAAATTGACCACAACCTTTAAAATTTGGAATTATTCGTAGATACATTCTAAAACATAAATTTGGATGAAACAGTCTTTATTCATATGTAAGCACTTTCTGAGCTCCCCAATATTAGAAGACATTGTTGAATCAAAATAAGCCACTTAGTATTGAAAATACAATTACATATAAAATTTTTTTTTTATTGGTTGTTTTGGTCTACTAGAGATCGTTTATGGGCCAAACTGTCTTGTGTTACAAGCTGTTCTTTGTGTAAAGCTTATACTTTTAAATTAAAGTTTGGCATAGAATAAGCACATTTTTGTGAAAAACATCTTTTAACAAACTATCACATCAAATCGCAGCTGAACAGAAACTAAGAACAAAAAGACCATGCAGTGTTTATTTAGTTCAATGTGAAAAAAATGGTTTCAAAATTATAAAACTGTGATGCTCTGGTGAAGATAGTTATAGACATGAATCTGTGGCTAACTTTTAAACAAACACTAGATATTTAAGTTTATTGACTAATCATATCACTATGCAACAATTGAAATTGTTATGGAGAAGTATATTCCCTTCACATACATATACATTTTCAACAGTTTAGGAAATTCAGATTAATTGCATAGGTCATGTCACAAGTCAAACCAGTCCACAATATTATAACTGAGAAGAAAATAAGGTTGTTGAAGAATGAGTTTACATCAGGACTCTACAGTTTAGATCTAATACTTACAGTAGTATTTCAAGAATACATTCCACATCTGAAAGAGAATGCCCATGGGCACTAAGAATCTGAACTACATGTGTGCTCCAAAGTAAAAGTTAGGTGCTCTGGGCACCTTGGGCAATAGTTAGTGTCAAACCCTGTATTGTCTACACTGTATGAGATTTGTAGACATGAATCGAGTCACTTCTAATTCTATTTCAAAGATAACAGTTCTCAAGCTTTGAGCCTAACCTAATAGCTTAACTTCCTTGAACCAAGTATTATTCTGTACTTTGTTCTGTATGTTAATATCTTTTTGTGTACTAAGGGAATCAAGTGTTTAAACAGCACCCCAAATTGTTTCTCTAAAATCTTGCACAAAATTATAATAATCTTACTGTTAAATTCAAATTCTCTAAGTAGAACTGAAAACTCGTAGTTTTTATTTTTGCTGGAGAAAAAAGACAGGAGATTGCTTTCAGATTTTTGTGTATAATTTATAATAGGGAAACTTATGACAATTCTTTTAAAGCATGGACTTCTTACTGAATATTTAGCAGCTCAACACCCAAAATGATAAATAATGTCAATAATAAGTGTTATTTTATATAAATGAAATAAAAAGCCGAAAGCCATCTTTGAGTCACTACATGTTTTGCCATCTTTAAGACACTGCCATCCTTACGAATAAAATTACACAGCAAGCAGGGAACTTTATGAGGAAACTTTAACTCATAAACTAAGTGGTGCTACAAATGTATGTTATTTTGTATAAGAGATTAACATTCCTTTCCAAAAACTACACATTAACACCTACTAATCCTTCATCTCTGTTTATCAATGAATTATTTGATTTATAACACAAAAGTTTATATTGATTTGCTGAGATTAAATTCACTTTGAGCATTTGGTTCATTTAAAATTGTTTTATGCCAAATTTTTGAGTTACCTGTTTCAGTATCTTTTTTTTTTCATTGTGTAAGTAACGTTTATGTTCATTGATACATTTCAAGTTATGTTTTGTTTGACTAATGTATTTTTTATTGCATTTACTTCTAATTTCTATATATATATATACCTGTTTATCAGAAATATCTGTGTTAAATACTTGGAAGCACTGTTTTAATTTTATTAATTAGCTTCAGAATAGGAATAAAGTTACGTTTGTTGAATACACTGGTGATTGGCTAGTTACACCTTGTCAATATTTGTTTGGGATTACCAAATTATTACACTGTAAAGAAGTGGAATGCTAATGAGGAGAGATGTTGGATAACTTTCCTAGCTGCTGATTGCTAAGACTGATGTAAGAAATATACTTAAGGGATTTAAGTAGGATATCAGTATCAGGCCAATCAGAAACTGAAAATGAGGAATCAGTTAGCATATTTTTTTGTGGATGTAGTGTTTCTGTAATACAACTAAATATTAATAAGAGAGAAATTTCATACTGCAGTCTCAATACCACAGAGTACTCAGGCATTGTCTGTGTTGCTAGTGTTAGTAGTATATACTTTCAGTGCTAGTAACTTATTTATTGAGAAACATTGGTTTACATAAAATTACAAGATGTGGTAACAGTAATAACAGTGAGGTTTATTATTTTCCTAAAATGCTGTTTACTTTTTTTTTTCTATGACATTTTGTTTTTCTTTGTGTTATCAAAAATTCTCCGTTTGTGTTTGACGATTGCAGACTTCCACAAATTCTTTTCTCCATGTTAAGGATGCATTGACGGTATCTATATTCCGGCACTATATGATGACTTAGAAACGTTAGCTGTATGTTCAGCTGAGGATGATGTCTCTGTGACTGTCTTCTACACTTTGCTTAATGATACCGAAATACTTTCCATTGTATACATATCAATGAAAGAAATTCATATTATAATTCCCTCGATCTGTATTTGTCTATTTCGTATCAAACACATGTTGAGCTTGTAGTAGATGCTAGGAAGTACAACTCTAAACAAGAGGGAATTTTCAATAGCCACAGCACTTGAAATTCTTTTAGGCAGGATTAGAGTAAATCTAATCAAAAACACCTTAGGTGTGAAAAAAAAAGGTGCAGCCAAAAAGGATTGAGTGTGCAACTTAAAGGAATGAAATCAAAATTGGTGGCAAAACTGGTATTTTCATTTATACTGTGATAAGCATTTTACAGTAAGTACATCCATCAAAAGGGTTCGACCTCCTGAGTCCAAAACTGTAATTTGTTCTCAAATGACGGAGCTATGAGCTAAAAGTTTGTACTTGATAGAAAAAGAAATCAGAACCATCCTATGAGCCACTATGCCACAACTAAAAATATTTTGCCCGAATGGAACCACGAGAATAAAGAAAGCAGTCTTTCTGAAGTGGGGCAACATCTCTTGAAAACTAACTGCAAAGTAACCTTCAGGGGAGTAATAGACCTTTCACTTTCAGCTTTCTTGGCTAATAATAAAGAAATAGAACAAAAGAAAGTTGTGGTACAAAAACACAAGAAAACATACTTGCACTAACTAATACCCACACACAAAGCCAAACTATTAACCTGCAGTTTACAAAAGTTTAGTTCAAGATTACTCAGTTTAAAAAAAAAACTTCAAACGTAATAATAATAAATTAGAATTAAACTGGTGCATGTATACATGTGTATATAATATATATATATATATATGTACAAAGAAGAGTTGTCCATCTTTCTGTTTTGTCTCACAAGTTTTGAGGAACTAACTGGAATAATTTTGATGAAATTTGGTAGAAGGACTTAATTCCCTTTCCCAAGATTGGGTTTGAATAGATAAGCAGTCAGACAAACTGTTTTAAGTTTGAAAGCCAATTTAATTTTCGTGCCATAATAGTGTGAATGAGGGCTCAACTGAGCTCAGAGGCTGATAAAAATATGTGAACTTTGTGCCAAACATAAGTGATATTTAATGCTGTGTGTAGCACAGGTACTTCTGCATTGTAGTTTATTTACTAAAGTTTAAAATAATGGGAGTGGCCCAAACCCCCATTTGTAGCATTACTTTTTTAAACTCAACATTGCTGAATTCCTTTGCTAGTTTTTTCATTAAAACAGATTATGGAAAATAGTTGGATTGATATCTGTAATGAACATTCATAACTAAATACTTAAAATTTTACAACAATTTACAATATCTCAAGTGCATTATTTTTATGTTTCTTAATATCAAAACCCATTTTTCACTGGTATGTTAGATAATTACTTCTTTATAAAAAAAAAAAAAAAAGACAATATATCAGTAGAATCGGCAGGTTTGGAAATAGTACTGTCCAAAAATTTATATGAATTGCTGAAATAAAGAACAAACAACAAAGGTGTTTTCAAACAGATGGTTAAGGAATACACTAGTAATTTTCTCTCAAATCATGAAAAAATTGCAAGCATACTTTAAATTGTTCTTGTAACTAGGTGCAGCATATATTAGTTGAAGTACTTGATATTATATTAACTACCTTGATGAAAAAAACTATTACAGAGGATTACCAGAACAATCAAGTAAAGTTTAAATGATCCAGGAACTTGTGTACTTTTGAATAGTTGATTATTCTTCATAAATAAAGAGAATAGTTAAGTGTTCCAAAGTACTTTAATTTCTAAGGATTTTGAAAACTACTTATTTTATATTAAGTAATAGTTATATTTTTCTCTCAGTTTTATGTCTTAATTTAAAAACTTAACATATTTTCTTAAAATTTAAATAAAGATTGCAGTCACTTTGTTAACTTATTATGATGAAGATTTTAAAATATTTGTTGATATTGTCTAATATATACTGCACATCTTGAATATGTTCGATGTTTCAGATGGAAGTTTCACTGTCCGCTTTAACTTTAAGAACAAAACATTTCAATAACTTTCTATGATAATATATTAATACGTGCAGGCTCATTTTTTTTTTGAAATGCCTTTTTTTTTAATATCAAATTTACATGTAGCCAACTTTTAATGTTCTGTTGAACGTGGATGTATCTATCTAGTTAAGTAGTACCTTCTTTCTGAATTAGTTTACTATGACTTAAGGAATAAATGTTTTGTTTTAGGTTCAGTGAAAAGCTTCATCTTAGTTAAGTGAACAGAGGGGCAATGTCGTGCACAGCAACTTTCTTATTAAGTGATACTGAAAGTAGTGAAGATGACAGTAGTCCACATTTACGTACCCTCACAGACATAAACGTATCAGAAGAAAAGAAACTCAACGAAAATAGTAATAATTCTTCAGTGTCACATACCCAATTAATTTCATGTTCTGAAAATTGGCAGGAAAACCATAGTAATACATTAGTACCAGAAACCCCGAGGTAAGTGAAAAAGTTTTAATTTCATATAATTTCAAGAGGAAATAATTTCTGATCTTCAGTCACATCTGCCACATGACGGCTTTAGTTTCTTTCTTTAGGAATTTTCTAACATAGAAAATAGTCTAAGACTTGCATTTAATTGGGAGAACTACACTTAATGACAAGGAAGAATATAAAATTTGAACGTCTTACCTTGATTTGTTGATATATCAATGAATTTATTAAACCAATTAGAGAAGTCCATTCCATTTTCTCATGTACTTCAAACCAATTATTATGTTAGGTTCATTTGTATTATGGGCACATTTGTAACTAATAGAAATATATAAGAATCATAAACCATTTGTTTGTGTTTGGCTCTTAAAGACAGTAATTTGCAAAAAAAACTTGACTTCTGTTGAATGAAGTCACTCCTAGCACTAACAAAATGTTTTTAAAATACTTATTTAGAAAGTCAGGTAAGTTATAGAAGTTTTGAGACATCCTGATATGTGTGCCTGATATATTTTTTGTGCTCTAAGATGCATATTTGAAAGCTACATGAATTGTTTTTTGGAGAAAAAGGGAGGATTACTGAAGCATTGCACTAAGTGCAGACAGGCCTCAACATCTAAAGTAAGTGCTAAGTTTTGTGATTTTTATGTATATTTTTTGAACAAAGTACAAAGAAAATTAATGTTTTAGGTTAGTGACAAATATAAAATAATTCAAAATATTGAGAACTCAAACTGTGTAACTTAATTGGTTTGTTTACTTTATCTTTGGGGTGAAATAGATATGCTGTGAATTCTGTTTTTCATGGAGTTTTTATTCTCTGAAATAAAGTCTGGTAATAAAACAATAAATAAATATAAAAAAATTAAGAGTTGAAATTGTGAATATAATTAATTTGATTATCTGGTGATAAATGATGCATTCAAAGAAGAAAAAAGTATTATTAATTTTATTTCATACTTTTTATTTTACGTTATTAGTGTTAGGGTAGAGATAAAAGAAAGTTTTACTTGGAAAAACTTGCTACTCATTTAAAGGAGTCTAGTGGTTATAAAATTGAAATGAAAACTGTAAGTTGAAAATAAGTATTTTTATTCTAAGCATGAGAAATCACCTTTCACTCTGACTCGGACAGAATACACTATTTAAAAATATGCTTTTTTGTATGCAACAGACTTGCAATGCTTACTAAAAGTTGCCAAATTTTGTGAAGATATACTTAGGAAATTCAGAGTTTTAGTATTTATAGTTTCATGCTTCCAAGGTGGGTCAAACTGACCCACTTCATATAGAAAGAGTAAATAAAGTATTGAGTGATTTTTGGTGTGATTCTTACATCTGTATTTTGGTAGAAATCACTTATAGAAATTGTTGTGGAAAAAATATTTATTTCTGATTGAGCAGAATGTTTTAAATGCAAGTATGTTAATTCTGCAGTATACGTAGAAGTGGAACCTTTCCATTGGAATTGAAACATTTTTTTACCAGCCCAAAAAACAGTGATATTTGTTAGATGTATGAATCATATGTTACTTTTTTTTTCACATGTTGACATGACAAGCTGTCTTTATTGGTTGAAAGGAAAAAAAAACTTGTAATGATAACATGATTTTTTTCTTTTCATTATTTACTTTAGATAGTGATTAGTAACTTTTTAACCATTGTACAGTATTAAAGAATCTTGTATATATTAAAAGATTGTTATAATAATAAACTAGCTATATAAATAAGTGATATCTGTTCTGTCAGGTTTATTTTATATATGTGTTAATCTCAAAGGTGCTTCATGTTGTATTTTTGTTTTTTGCCTTACATTCCTTTAACGTCCCTGTAAAAAACTGTATAAAGTTCATATAAGTTAAAGTACATATATTAACCAAATATATATATATATGGGGGCTGATCCATTGGACCAACCCTGTATTAGAGAAGAAATGTTAACTATGATTCCAAATTTACTGCATGTATCTACATGAAATGTGGCAAGCTTTTAGTAAAATGTACAAGTCTGTTATCCAAAAAAAATCAGATATATTGCAAACATATTTCTACTCAAGATATATCTGTGAATGGATGATGTCAGTCTGACTCAGATTCTGACAAGTTGGAGTGCAAAGTGATGTTCGTGTGAAAAACAAATATTTTTGTTCATCATTCAGTTTGATATTGTATTTCCATCGCCTCTAGAACATCTAAAATGTATATTTACTCTACTTTACCACAAACTATCTCTAAATCAGCAATGTAGGGTAAAGTGAATAATTGTTAACTCTGACATCAAATATGTATAATACTATGTTGAATGGCACTCTGTAGATTGTAACATGTGCACTTTGACACCCCCACACACACCTAGGGTTAATGAAATTAATTAAGTTACAAATGGTAGGTTATATTAACCACTTCTCACAATCTTGGAGATCAAAATCAGTGTATTTAGAATTGTCTCTGGACAACATATTTTTGACAGTGATAACTAGTTTTGTTTCAGAAACCCCTGATCCAAAATGTTTTTAAAATTTGTTTTTGTTTTATTTAAAAATTAGGAGATTAATTCAGAAGGACATGCATGAGAATTCCTTTTATTATATATATTTCTTAGACATCCAGAATAGTTCAGTACTCCTACATTCTAATCTGGTATTAATTATCAATTGATGATGTAAACAATATCTATTTGCCATGATTGTTATATGGAATCTTCTAGGAACTAAAATTTGGAGAAAAAAAAATATGTTGGTGTTGGACTTCTTGGATATATATATATCAATATTTATCATATATTATAGAGATATTTGTAGCCCTTAAAGAATGATGAGTTTTAATTTTGTTTGTTTATTTTTTAGCCCGCTTTTAATTAGCTATAAAAGAAGAAAACAAGAACAGCAAGAGATCAAATCAAAAAGAACTTGTCTGAATCACAAAGTAGAACCTGTAAGTAACCCTATCAAATCTACTGATACAGCTATGCAGGCAGAAGGACAAAATCCAATTGTATTTCCATTCAAATGTTCCAGTTTTGAGAAAGGACCAAAATCAAAAAAAAAAACGTGTTGTCCTTCGGCACTTTACCTCAGCTGGGTGAACATCATTTAGCTGATAACGATAAACTTCCTGAAACCACAGATAATACTGTAATATCTACAAGTATACCTATACGTGGAACACCGCCATTCTGTAGAAGTGACAGTTGGTCTAATGCACTTTCTTCTAATTCCTCTTGTGCATATTCTAGTTCGTCTAGTAATTCTTACTGCATAGATAGTCCTTTAAAAAATACCTTACGACCAAATGCTCAGAATTTTCATCAACATTGTAAATTTCCAAGAAGCAGTTGGCAAGAAAACACATCTGTACCATCTAGCACTTCACATGAGAACAATACCTGGAACTCTTGTAATTACAGAAACTTTGGGTTTTTATCATCTTTCAACAGTGAAAATTCTACTTGTGGTAGTAAAGTTGATAAACATTCAGTGAATTCTTCTTCAGGAGCTGCAAAGTTAAAGAAAAAATCAAATTTTGTTTTTCAATCTGGAAGGGTTTCAAATAAATCCAATGACCAGAAAGATCAGCCCGCTAGAAATTTCACAAATTGTCATGATGCTAATTCTTCTGCAGTGAAAAAGTGTGAAAACTCTGTAAATAATCATCAGTCCGGTGTGAATGATGGAGGTGCTTTTCAGCTCTGTGCATCTGCAATTTCTTCTTCGTGGAATAATTTTCAAAGCAATATTTTACGACCACTCATGTCTCCTTTCATGAAACATCAGAATGGGAAAAAAAATTATGATAATAATGACAGTGATGAAATGTTATTTAATGTTCCATCATCACTAGAAAATACCTCTTCATTGTCATCGCAGCAACAAAGTATATGTAGATTGCCATCTATAAAACAGGAATATAGGGAAAACAAAGAACATACTTGGATAACACAAAACTTAGATTCACAAACTAATCATGAAGATACAGGAGAGAGCACTTCTTCAGGACTGTTATTCTGTGATACCAGTCAAAACATAGAGTCTCAAGATAGGAATAACATGACAGGTGTTGAAGAAACACCTAGACCATGGATCTCTACAAATAGTCTTAGGAGGAACTTTCAAGTAACACCTTCAGTAAGAGAGAGAGAACAGAGAGTTCTTCCACCAAACCATTCCGCAAGACCTAGTAGAAAATTCCAGAAGTTTTCTGCAGTGCCTGGACAGCAGTATTTTCCTAATAATGTGAGACAAAGAGAGGAAACATTTAATTTTTGTAGAGCCAATGAAAATGCTTCTAACAACAGTAATGGAGTTAGTATACCTGTAAAACAACCACGTAGATTACATTCATTTAGTAGGCTACAGTATGGCAATAATAGATCAAGAGAAACACTCAACAGAAGTCAAAGTTCTAGGCTCACAGGTCAGAGAGCTACATTTAATGTGCACCAGGAAATGTCAGTAGATGAGAGTCAACCCGGATCTTCAACATCTGTCCATCAACAAATCCCAGAAATGTCACAACTAACTAGCCTTAATCCTGATTTATGTGATGCAGAATCAGAAAGTGAAGAAGAAGAATTTTTTACTCCTGTTTCTTCCAACTCACAATCTGAAAGTGAAGGTAGAGGAGATGTATCAGATCAAATGAATATTTCAGTGGTTGTACAAGTATCTCCAGTAGAAACAGCCAGAGTTTCTGTTCAGTCAGGAACTGATGGAAACGTTCAAACAGAGGACCAAAGTAGTGATGAAGATATTATAGTCATATCTAATGACAGTCCTAGTTTTGATGGAAGAAATTTTTCTGCCAACCTTCGGGTTGGTTACGATTGGCGTTCTGTCGATAGTGGTATGTATAATTTCAACATAATAATTTTAATGGTACTTTCTTTAGCTATCTGTTATGTATAAAGCTACAAATAAATGGGTTAGGTTTATTCATTTTTCATAACTTCGGTGCCTTAGTCTGAAGCGGGAGTTCAACATTCAGGAATAGTGGTGAAAGAAATACATGAACTTTATATGTGGGCCCGGCGGTTAGGGCGCTCGACTTGCAATCTGCGGGTCGCGAGTTCGAATCCCCATCCCACCAAACATGCTCGCCCTTTCAGCCGTGGGGGCATTATTATGTGACTGTCAATCCCACTATTCGTTGGTCAAATAGTAGCCCAAGAATTGGCAGTGGGTGGTGATGACTAGCTGCCTTCCCTCTAGTCTTACACTGCTAAATTAGGGACAGCTAGCGCGGATAGCCCTCGTGTAGCTTTGCGCGAAAATTCAAAAACAAAATAAACTTTATATGTGAATCACTGTAATGTTTACTTGAGAATTAAAGAAAATTCTAATAAGTATTATGACTAGTCATTAAGTTAAGTGTTAAGTATTTGGTGTTCCAAACATTTTACTTTATAAATTCTATTAAACATTTACTCCTTTCTACGATAGTCCAAACTGAAATATTTGTATACATGCAAGTGAGATTTAGAACTGTTTAAGACATATGTCATGTATATGTACTATATATATATACAACTTTCATCCTTCTTACCTCTGTAAGATACAACTAGTACACCAAGTAACAGTGACATAACACCACCTAGTGAGGACCAAGAACAAGAAGTTTTTGTTGTTTCCCCTGATCCCGTAGCCCAGGTCAGTCAGATGGAGGAAGATGAGCACTTGGCTCGAATGCTTCAGGTCAGTACTGTAGTTACTAGTGTGATAATTAGAATTAAAGTAATCATATATATATATATGTGTATACACATAAAAAAATAAAAATAAACTTTTCAGCAGAGATAGTATAAACAAATAAAGAAGTATACGCTAAAAAGCTACGTAAACTATTATGGTAGTATATATTACATGTTGCTAACATTAGGACTACAC